GATTTGCTGGCTTTCCCAAGGTCACACAATGAGTTAGTGGGAGAGTTGGGGGAATAGAGTCCAGGAGCCCTGACTCCCAATCCCCCTTGCTCTAACCACTGGACAACAATCCATTCCTTATTATAAAAAGCAAAGATACTTCAAACATTCTGCTGGATTGTACCTCTGGTTCTCTGTCTGGGGGTTTTTAAGCAGCATTTTATGGGTAAATATCACTTTAAAAAAGCTGATTGGTGTGTGCATGTTTTGTAGTTTTTTTTTTAAAACAAAAATATTTGTTGTTTAATTTTTAAAGTAGCATAACCAGCTGTTCCATAGAGACTGACATCAGAAGTAACCACAGACTGAGAGCAATAACCAATTCACTAGCTGGTAGTGGAAGGGGGACACACAAAAAGCCAAGATGCTATATTAAATACACATTGTAGCCAGATTGGCAATATTGACCGAGCTGTTTTACTTGTTTTGAATGGTTATCTCCTTGGATTAGAGTAAAACAACAGTCACGGGCACAAAAGCCTCACTCACAGCAGAGAAGTCAAAACGAAAGAAATACTAATAATATAGAGCAAGGCTGGCCTAGTGGTTAAATCCTTGGACTGTGACTTGGGACACCTGGGTTTAATTCTCAGCAATGCCACAAACTCTGAGTGACTTTGGGTAAATCACTTAATGCCTCTGCCTCAGTCCCCACTCTGTTAAAGAGGGATGATTATTCTTCCTTTTGCTGTTTGTGTCTTGTCTATTCAGATTATAAGTTCTCTGAGACAGGGACTGTATCTTCCTATGTATATGTGCACCCAGGACAATGGGACCCTGGTCTCAATTGCGGACTCAAGGTACTGCTGTAATACAAATAATAAACCACTCATGCTAATATAGGATAGATACAGGAAGTAAAGATTAGGCAATTAAAAAAGGGCCTGATCACTCCCTTATGAGGGAAAACCTACTGGAGGAGTCTGAAGGGGAGGGAATCTACATAAAGTTTCCCTTGCAGAGATATGCTCAGCTGGAGCGGGGGGCAGCAGTTGTGCACTCCATTGAGGTTGGTCTATCTGGACTCCCACAGTCAGTGGTTGCCCCAAAGACCCTCCATCATGGAATTGGTGAGGAATTAATTTTCTTTCCTCCCTGATCCCTGCAGTGTGGATGAAGGGACAATATTAATTTCCTCCCACCTGCCCTGCTTCGGCTACCTATTGCTCCGGAGTCCTTACACAGACTCCACTGAGGGGTGGAGGGGCCTCTGTGAGGTCCCAGCGAAAGCTTAGGACAGGGGTCGGCAACCTTTCAGAAGTGGTGTGCCGAGTCTTCTTTTATTCACTCTCATTTAAGGTTTCGCGTGCCAGTAATACATTTTAACGTTTTTAGAAGATCTCTTTCTATAAGTCTATAATATATAACTAAACTATTGTTGTATATAAAGTAAATAAGGTTTTTAAAATGTTTAAGAAGCTTCATTTCAAATTTAATTAAAATGCAGAATCCCCCGGACCGGTGGCCAGGACCCAGGCAGTGTGAGTGCCACTGAAAATCAGTTCGTGTGCCGCCTTTGGCACGCGTGCCATAGGTTGCCTACCCCTGGCTTAGGAGAATGTTGCAGTGGTGGTGGATGAATTCCCCCATCTGTGCAAGAGCAGCATGGCCCAAGGGAAATATGAATGAATTGTCCCTGAATTCATACCCTGAATTAATTATTTCTCTGCACGATCTTAATTGAGGGCTTAATACTGCAGGGTTCTGTAGTGGGAGTTAAGGTCACTCAGTACCTTGCAGGATGGGCTCCAGGACTGGTAATCACCTTGGGTTTGGTTTTGCTTATAACCCCACTGAAGTTACCTTGGCATAAGATCAGCACTGGGTCCCGTCTGAACATAGTTATTAATGTAAATAAACAAAAGGGGCCATATGGGCTAGTGCTCAGCATCCATGTGTCTTGGAGGTATTTGGAAAGCTGTGCAGCCTCTGCCTGCCATCAAATTTCAAAGACCTCCTGCGGGGGCGGAGGGGAGGGGTGTGAGAATTCACAGCACAAAAAGCACACACTTGAGGAAGTGAAACGAGCAACTAAAAAACTGTGCCAGGAAAGGAGGATCACTGGGATGGGAATGGTCAATATTTAGTAGCCTTTGATTGTGGCCAAGAGTGACAGCGTGTGATGTTGTCTGTGTAAATCAGTCAGGACTGCTGTCCATTAAGAAGCTTATAATGGACTGTTAGTGACTCACCTTAGTGTCATTGGTTTTTGTTTTCATAAGGCTTTGTCAAGAACATGACTTAAAGGCTGCTTTTGAAGAAGAGGCTTTTTCCCCCTGCTGTCCCATCTCTCTTTTGTGAGGAAGGATGCGCTGGGGAAAATGGAGATTTTCAAGCATTGTAGGATAGGAATGAGTCCTTGAAAACCCTAGTTCCTTTCAATTAAACTGCTTCCACTAACGCTTAACTAGATTCTAGGACAAGGTGTCTCGTTAAATTTCTGTGCTTTGCAGTTAATAAGCGTTCCGCTTGTAATTTGGAAATGCTTGCTTCCTGCTGATTTTGACTCCATAAGGCAATGGCTCTGGAGAAACAAGTGTGCGTGTGCCTTGGGAAGGAATAGCCGCGCCAGCTGTCCATTGCATTTAATGTTCCAGCTGTGCCCTTGAGTTCAGTGGCATATTTAGGAAATTGGTACAGAAATAACCCAGGCCTAAGCAGCGTTACCCAAGGATTTTCATGGCTGGGGATTGGCTGGTTTTGATCACGTGCTCCTGCATTTAACTGTTTGCCTGCTGCATTCTTTGCATCATGCTGCACTTCTGGATTGTTGGTTTGGTTTGCCCTCTGTGCTGACGTGGAATGCACAGTACATTGAGTTCTACCGTTGTGTGTGCCATGTTTCAGGCTGCGTTGAGGGCCTAATGCAAAGCCCATTGAGCAGCATGGCAAGGCTCCTATTGATTTCAGTAGGCTCTAGATCAGACCCTGATGTAGCACCTTTCCTCCAAGGACCTGTAAGTGTTTTACCAAAGCAGGCATTAAACCTTACAGCACCCAAACAGGTGTGTACATACTATTTCTCCCATGTTACAGATGGGTAACTGAGGCACAGGGAGGTTAAGTGACTTACCCGCAGGTTGGTAGTACATCCAAGAATAGAAACAGCAGCCCTGATTCCCAGTCCTCTACTAACCCCTCGAGGGCACTTCTTCCTGCTCTTCTCATGCAGACTGACACTGTCCTGTGTACATCTGGGAACAGCAGCTGTCCCACAAGTGTCAGCAGTCAGGAGTGCTACCTGCTCCTGCTGTTGCCACAGGTTTTTTCATAGATTCATAGATTCTAGGACTGGAAGGGACCTCGAGAGGTCATCGAGTCCAGTCCCCTGCCCGCATGGCAGGACCAAATACCATCTAGACCATCCCTGATAGACATTTATCTAACTTACTCTTAAATATCTCAAGAGATGGAGATTCCACAACCTCCCTAGGCAATTTATTCCAGTGTTTAACTACCCGGACTGTTAGGAACTAATTCCCAACGTCCAACCTAGACCACCCTTGCTGCAGTTTAAACCCATTGCTTCTGGTTCTATCCTTAGAGGCTAAGGTGAACAAGTTTTCTCCCTCCTCCTTATGACACCCTTTTAAATACCTGAAAACTGCTATCATGTCCCCTCTCAGTCTTCTCTTTTCCAAACTAAACAAACCCAATTCTTTCAGCCTTCTTTCATAGGTCATGTTCTCAAGACCTTTAACCTTTAAAAAAAATGACAGCAGCAAAGCTAAGCCTACAACCAAAGCAAGAAAAAAGGGGGCAAGGCTGTCTCCTGGTGGGCTCACTGGAGCACTGCGGTGCATCTTCCCTGTGTCCTGATACAGCACTTGTTGGTATACCATGACTGGGAGGAAGTGGTAAAGGCACTTTGGCTGCTAGGCCCTAACAGCTCAAACATCCAGTGGGCCCCAGTAAGTACTTCAATGACCACCTCCCTGCCTTGCTCCTCTCCAGCTATCCTTCCAGCTGCCACAGAGCACTGACCCCCAGAGCAGGCCAGCGTATTCCCCACAGCAGTTAGGAGAATGCTGCTGGAAGGCATATTGGTCAGGGTCCTGGACTAGCACAGGTGGAATGTCTGCTGGGTGGAATGTCAGCCCTGCCAAGGGCATGTGATCGTGCTATGGCCTCCATGGGGCGGCACTGCCCTCCAAAGTGCATGTGGCGTACTGGTGGCTAACAGAAATCTTGTTTGTGATCAAGTAGAAGAGTCATGTTTTTTTCTGGAGGGGAAAGTCCCAAGTTCTGTTCCCCTGTTCCTGTGTTAGGTGAGTGTGGCACAGCTGGCCACTGAACTGTCTTTGTAGGTGGCTGTTTTTGAAGAGCACTGGCGCTGGAGTCTCTTTAGGTTCTGATTTAAAGAAAGCGTGGGAATTCAGTCATCTTAGTGCCCGTGTCACAGCTGCCTGTTCCGTGCGGTGCAGTTCTTAAGGGTGGCATAGAAAAGAGAAGAATACAATGAAAGAGGGGTGTGTGTGTGTGTGTGTGTGTGTGTGTGTGTGTGTCGTACCAC